GGCGGCCCGCACAGGCGCTGCCCACGGGGGGTGGGGCGGGGGCAGGCTACCCTATGTGAGTTTAAGCCACCAGGTCTGGGACTCAAACTGTGGTCGACTACATGGGAATCCAGTGACATAGCCATTACACCAACTGCTGGTCCCGCACTTGTGTTTTCAACAGGCTTCTGAAGAGAGTTTAATGAACATTCAAGATTGAGTTGTACCAGTCAAGACTTAGAAGGTGGGAACCCGGGTTACTATTGATAATAGCAGGTTTGGGGTAGGTAGAAGGAAGGTTAGAAAGCCCACAACCCTAGTGAGTACCCAAGTCAGTGATTCTCAACTCCTCTCTGTCTTCTTCTCTCCACTCCTTCTGCATTGGTGGGTGGTGAGTGATGAGGGCAGAAGCCCCACTGTTGGGGATTTAAGAGGAAGTGGGAAGACTACCCTCAGTCTGATAGTGAGAGAGTGTGTCTTTTACAAAAGAACTGACCCAGACTCTCCAGAAATGAAAGAAACAAAGGGACCAGATGTATGATCTATGATTCTGATGAAGTTCTGCATCTGAAGGCCAGAAAGGACATTACTAGGGTATTAGGACATTTAAATATGAGCGCTGTATGAATTGTTGCTTTGTAGTTATGAGGAGTTCTAGGAAGTACCTGCTTAAGTATTTAGGCTGAAGTGTCTTGATCAAGAAATTGCTTTCACATAGTACAGCCAAAGAATATGTATTGTGTGTGTGTGTGTGTGTGTTGTGTGTGCATGTATGTGCTTATAGAGGGCATGTATGAGCCCAAAGGTGGCAAAATAGTAGTAGTTGAATTTAGGTGAAGAGCACTTTAATTATTCTCTCAGTTCTGTTGGTTTGAAGTTTTCAAAATAAAAGTTAAGGAGGGACCAGTAGTTAGTGTAATGGCTGTATCGGTAGACTAACGTGTAGTCGACCGTGGTTCGAGTCCTGGACCCGGTGGCTTAAACTCATGCCAGGCGCATGTGCACGCGTGCCCAAAATCCCAAGAGGAGAATGAGAAGGGATTGCAGCGTTGCCATCCCTCCTGGGTGGTGATTTCTCGCTTTCTCAGTGTCTGTCTTTGTCTTTCTGGCGAGCACACACACCCTATAGCAAAAACCTCTCCATAAATAAATAAATAAAAGTTAAGGAGAAGAGATATTGGAGAGACCTTTTAGATAGCAACTATATACAGTCCTAGGAGGAGGTTTGTTTTAGAGGAAGATGGGGTCATGAGGGAGGTTTTCTAGATGAAAGGGAGAATGGCACAGTGATCTAGTAGAGGATTAAAAAGACATCCTCCTGTCTCCCCTGTCCATATAGATAGTTCTTTTGGCATTATTGGTTAAAAAGGCCACCCTTTCTCTGATGAACAACCTAAGTAATTTTCTTAGCAGTCAATTGAACATATATATGTAGACTTATTTCTGGACTCACTGTTCATTTCTGTTGATCTGCGTATCTATCGTTACGCCAGTGCTGTTACTGCTCACTTACTACTTTAGCTGCATCACAGATTTGGGCTTACAGGAGTGAGGGCTACCCTTGCGTTGGCAAGAATGAATGGGATGTAGGACACAGACTTTGTTTTTATTATATTTATTTTTTTTTTAAGAGAGAATTTTTGCTATAGGGTGCATGCACTTGGCAGAGAGACAGAAAATGAGAAATCACCCCCTGAGGGATGGCCACGCTGCAGTCCCTTCTCCATTATTCTCCTTTTGGGATTTTGGGCATACATGCATATGCAATCAGCATGAGTTTTAAGCTGCCGGATCTGGGACTTGAACTGTGGTTAACTATGTGAGGGTCCAGCAACATAACCATTATGCCATCTGCTGGTCCCTTATTGTATTTATTTATTGCTAGCTTTTTAGAGTTGATATAGTAGGCTTTTTAAAATTTCCCTTTGTATATTAATTAGATGGCATTGCTTCTCGATTCATTGCTCAGTAACACTTCTTCAGGGGAGCCTTCCCTTTTTTTCTCTTTGACTGACTTAATCT